AGAAGAACCCATCCAGAGGACCTACTGATTTTTTTCTTTTTGATCCTGTTAATTATATACATCACCTGAAATGACTGAAGTGTCAAAGTATCAATATTTTAATTTTYGTATRGATTCTAGAGCATAAAMTTCTGGTTTCAGTTGTACGCTGCACTACAGCTCAATTAAAATCTTGAACCTAGTCCTTTTTAATTTTTGATTGAGTTTGAAACCTGRGATTTGGTTGACCATTTACTGGGCCAAGTTTTTCAGTTTGAAAACCTCTGAGGAATGACCTTGTTTGTGCTAAAATACTACGTTTTTCTTGTCTAAGTGTGTTATGTTGGTATACTGCAGATGTATAAAGAATTCAGAACAAATTCTATAATTTTCTGACAAGTTCCTGGTAACAGAGCCTAAACAAACAATGAATTGTTTTTATTATTTGATAAAAAAACTATTCTTAATATTGGCAAACAAATYAATGGACAAAAAATGCATGAAAGGTGACAGGCACAAAGAGTGAAGTGATGTCAACCAAAATCTTTAAAAGACTTACAGAAAACAGAAAGAGTCACTCAGAACCACTCTGAAAAGAAAGGCGCACAACAAAGTCAAGTATTAAAATAAAAATTAAAGATATAAAAAAATCAACTCATGCATTAATTCATCTACTTTTAAAACATTCTTCCTTTAGGGAAATTACGCAAAAGGCTCTGAAAGCTGTGGAACAGGTTTGTCCAGTGCCCAACMCAGCATATAAAAGCAGAACTCCCTGGGATGTTATCAACAGACAGAGAGCTACATCTTCATCAGCTGACGAACACTGTGAGGTTTTATTTTATTACTGCTTTATTACTGCTATCATCTGTCATGTGGCTTTAGTGTTTGATTTCTGACATTTTGTTATTTTGAGGCTTTTAAAAAATGGGGAGGAATTTTTTTAATTAGAAATTTAACAACATTATATTTTTTTAGTTTAGTTTGAGTCTATCTCCTGTTTCTCGTGCTGAGAAAACTTATATTTGGATTTTTATTAATTAGTTTATATAATCAATATATAATCAATTATATAATCATATTAGTATATAATTAGTATATAATCATCGTTTTATTTCGGCACAGTACAAGAGAGTAAGTTTTTTAATGGGACTAAGTTTTCCACAAATTTTTTTTATCTTTGCAAGTTACATTTTATTCTGCTTTCACCAACAAAAGACCATATTTATACATCTGTGGGAATGCCCAGAACAGAACAAGCATCTTGAAAGACAAACATGAAATTAGATCATATTTTTTTTCATTTCAGGTCTGTTGTTTCTAAATAGAAATTGATTAAAAGTTAAATCGGCCTCTGTCAATGTCTGTGTTCACAGTAAAACTTGTATTTTTTACCTTCTCTGCACAGAAAGGTGTCAACATGAAATTGCAACTGCTGCTGGTTCTGGCTGTGGTGGCACTGGTGCCAAGCCTCTCTGAGGGCCGAGTTTTCAGCAAATGTGAGCTAAAAACTCTATTTCAGACGGCCATCACCCTGCCTGGAAAACATCAAAAACACAAAGAAGAAATCCTGGCAGCAAGTGAGTGTCTGATTGAGGTTTTCTGTGGTACATTAAAATGTTTGTGTCTTTAATCCATCCATTCATTATACTCCAAAACATCTTATTCAAAATGTGGGTAAATGAGAAGAGCAATGTGATTTCAGACTGTTTGTGACCACAAACTGAAAATGAGAACTACATGCCATGAATGTTGCGTGTTCAGTGGCTCATGTTGGCCATCACCCTGTTCATCTGTTCTTCCTCTTTCTTTGTTTGCTTCTTGCTTGATTGTCCTGTTTGCTCTAGTTATCTGTCAGCTGAATGCAACGTCTGGTCTGAACAGCAACCTGGTCACCGTGGAGGGAATCCGTGAATCCAGCACCACAGCCCAACCATCAACTCTTGCACCAACAGGAAACCCAATAGAACCAGTAAAGCAAACCACCAATCCACCAACCAACACAACACAAACCACCAATCCACCAACCAACACAAGAGAACCCACCATAATGCCAAACACCGCTACATTAACCACCATTGCACCAAGCACTACAACTCCAACCAATGCTGCAGCTGCAGATGTCACCACTGCAGGATTAGCATCTCCTAGTTCAAGCACTCTATCTGGCTTCAGAAGAAAGAAGAGGTCCTCCTCCAGAAAAAGRGAAAAGAAGGAGAAGTCATCAGAAGAATCTGTTTTTGATGTGAAATGGGAGTGTGACCATGAGGTGCAGGAAGATGATAATGGCATGAYAAAACATAAGAGAGGAAGCTCAGAAAGCTCTGAGGAGGATCAGGAGACAACTGATTGGTCCCTTGGCAAGTATGGAATCTTCCAGCTGACAGACAGCCACTTCTGTTATTCTGGTTATCGCCGGTCCAGAAATGTATGCCACACAGACTGCTCTGGTGAGTTCATGCAAAAGTGACATACAAAAGAAAATAAGTTAGCAACCTTATTTTCCTAATCCTGATGTCCTGCATGTAACAATAATTCTGTCTCTCCCTGAAGCTTTCACTGATGATGACATCAGCGATGACATTGAATGCGTCCTGGACAGTAGATACTTGGGGTAAGTCCCTGTCAAAACTTCGTCTATTGTATGAAAYRGTGCCTCACCAATGCATGCTACCACTAAAAAGCACCTGCAGCTACACCAGTGCCTAAACATTAACWGCTTCCTTCAGATGATGGTGTTAATTTACACAGGGTGGACTCTGTGACAGTTCAGTACTCAACATATTCAAGTACTTTGACAAAAGTGTTAATAACCTAAATAGCAAAAAAATGCAGAGACATAATGAAAAAGAAAAACCCGCAGAGATGAAGCACAAATGTTTATCAGGGTTCATGCCGGGTCTTAAAACGTCTAAAAAAAAGTCTAAAATTTGAAAATCAAAATTTTAGGCCTAAAAAAAGTCTTAAAA